CCCCAAAACCCCAAAACCCCAAAACCCCAAAACCCCAAAACCCCAAAACCCCAAACTAGCAGCACAGAGGTTTAACTTAATTTATATATGATGAGCGTCACTGCTCTATTATTAAGGATTCATTTACTAAAATTGATGGTTTAACAATGAGCCTTAAACTCGAATCTGACTGATGATGCTCCGGCTTCTTCACATATTTCGATTAATTTTTCTTCCTGGGCCTTGGCATCCTCACAGTATTTTCTGAGTCCGTAGTCGACCCATAATTCAACTTTTATGAACTTGCCTTTGTCTACTATCCTGATACCACAAACTTTATCAGTGGCTGGGAAGTTGCTAGTTACCAGGTTTAATACTAAATTATTCCAGATCTCTTTTGTTGATTCAATATCTACCGTAATTTTTGTCGCGTATTCGCCACCATTCTTATTGGTCGCATCTTCCCATTCAGGATGAATTCCAGTTTTAAACATTGCAAGAGTGTTAATCCTTTCATGGCTCCCTTTGATTTCATAATAGTTGATGTAATTCTTTCCCTCTCTTTCGAATGCGAAGAAGTTGGTTGGGTCAGAATGAGGAATCTTATTCCATACTTTCCAAAAGGTAACTGCATCTCCAAACCAAGCTACTTTTTCCATTCCAGCGTTATAATTTGCTTGCCCCTTCGTTTCCACTAGCTCCCAAATTGTCCACTTATGGTTTAAGGCAAGCTCAGGGATCTCTGGTTTTTCGAAAACCTCTGTTGCCATGGCAGTAGATCCTTTAGAAGAGGAGTGTTTCTCTTCTTCACCAGATTTGCTCGGCTCAGCTTGACTTTGGGAGAGTGTAGATCTTGGATACCCACCTCCATACCTTGGCTTGTAAGAACCTGCGTGTGACTGAGAAAGACCTTTGGCCCCTTTATGTTCTTCCTTTCTGGCTCTTGTGTGATCGTTTTCTTGATCATCTGCTCCGGACTTGGCTGGTCCTGGTTTGTTATCTGTCGTATTTTTATCTGACATATTTGATATTTAGTTTAAGGTTTCTTTTAAAATAAATTAATTACTTTATTCAAACACTATTATTAAAAATGGGGTTTTGGGGTTTTGGGGTTTTGGGGTTTTGGGGTTTTGGGGTTTTGGGGTTTTGGGG